TCAGCTTTGATATTAATGAGTTTTTTGGGTTCATTGAGAACATGGTTGTTGTTCAATAATAAAATTAATCCTCAAAAATACAACTTGCCTAATAATTCTGCACTCCCTGTAGGGTCTTTAGGTACCCCCAACCCTCAGGGTCCCACTCCCGCTGGGCTGAAGGGGTTAAACACTTACCTTTCTCCAGCGCCGGGCTCCCTCGGCGCTGGGGAAATCTCCTCCCTCTTCCAAAGTCAGTGCTGAATGCGCATGCGCGGCAAGAGTTGCGCGCGCATTCAATCAGTCCATAGGAAAGCATTTCTCAATGCTTTCCTATGGACGTCCAGCGTCTTCTCACTGTGATTTTCACAGCGCAGAAGCACCTCTAGCGGCTGTCAGGAAGACAGCCACGAGAGGTTGGATTAACCCTATTGTAAACATAGTAGTGTCTCTGAAACTGCTATGTTTACAGCTGAAGGGTTAAAACTAAAGGGACCTGGCACCCAGACCACTTCATTGAGCTGAAGTGGTCTGCGTGCCTATAGTGGTCCTTTAAACTAATAACAATTAAAAAAGAAAAAATCCCTATTAGTGGAAACCTCACGAGTTCTCAATTGAAGATAAAAAAAAACACACACACACATCAATAAATATTGGACAAAAATATCAAGAAATAAAAACAAATAAAGAGAACCAACCAAAATATGTTAAAACAATAAACAAAAAACAAATCTTCTATCCCTCATCTCTACAAAACCCCTGTGTGCCTCTGCCCTGTCTAACCCCTTCACCCCAAGCCTGCTTACCTGTACCAGCCTGAGTATTATTCCCCCTCCTTCCAGCTTGGGAGGATCTGCAGTGCCAGGCTCCTGTTCTCACCCTCCATCCATGCTGTGAGTGCTCCGTGTGAGAGGGGAGCAGCAGGTCACTTCCTGCCCCCTCCCATCCTCACATGGAGCACTGTGCACTAGCTGCAGGAAGAGAGAGAGGAGACCTGGCAATGAGAGCAAGGTATGCTGCCAGGTCTCACGCTGAATGGTCGAATGGGATTGCAGGGTGACAGGTTGCAGGGGCCCCCTATATCATGGGCCCCTCCAACCTTCCTTCTAACTGTGGAGATCTCTCTGATTTCCACAGCAAAAGCATAGCTGTGCTGCTGGGCCCCCTGACTGACTCAGGCCCTCGGTCCATGACCGATCTGCCCGACCTGTCAGTCCGGCCCTGACAGACACTCACTCGAGTATAAGACGAGTGGGGGTTTTTCAGCCCAAAAAATGTACCAAAAAACTTGTCTTATACTCGAGTATATACGGTACATATTTATATATTTGAAGTCTACGTGTATATTTATGAAATTATTTATATAATTTTATATATGGACATATGTATATTTTGTATTATTTTTATTTATTTACATATACATAGATATATATATATATATAATTTCATTCCAAGTCTATTTTGATATAAATATATATATACACACTGCTCAAAAAAATATAGGGAACACAAAAATAACACATCCTAGATCTGAATGAATTAAATATTCTTCTGAAATACTTTGTTCTTTACATAGTTGAATGTGCTGAGAACAAAATCACACAAAAATTAAAAAATGGAAATCATTTTTTTCCAACCCATTAAAGTGGAAAAACACACTACAGGCTGATCCAACTTTGATGTAATGTCCTTAAAACAAGTCAAAATGAGGCTCAGTAGTGTGTGTGTGGCCTCCACGTGCCTGTATGACCTCCCTACAACGCCTGTGCATGCTCCTGATGAGGTGGCGGATGGTCTCCTAAGGGATCTCCTCCCAGACCTGGACTAAAACATCTGCCAATTCCTGGACAGTCTGTGGTCCAACGTGACGTTGGTGGATGGAGCGAGACATGATGTCCCAGATGTGCTCAACTGGATTCAGGTCTGGGGAACGGGCGGGCCAGTCCATAGCATCAATGCCTTCGTCTTGCAGGAACTGCTGACACACTCCTGCCACATGAGGTCTAGCATGGTCTTGCATTAGGAGGAACCCAGGGCCAACCACACCAGCATATGGTCTCACAAGGGGTCTGAGGATCTCATCTCGGTACTTAATGGCAGTCAGGCTACCTCTGGCGAGATAAAATAGAAAGGTGAACAGCGCTAAAAATCAGAAAATGTACATACGTTTTGTAGAAATACTGGCCAGCAGAGTAACTTAAAAAAAAAAAAGAGAAACAAAAATACAAATAATGGTACAGTATGTATGAACGATATAATTCCACAAGAACAAAGGTGTTATATTCACACTCACACTCTGAGGAGCTATATCAGCTCGGTGTTAAGAGCCTGGACGGAATAATCCCCGTCTATGGATTTCTTGAGGTTCAAGACCGTTGGTGAATTTATAGGTGTAAATATTAGTTACATGAAAAACAAGAGTAAAATACACCACATGGTATAGTACGTAAATATAAAATATTGTGAAAAAAAGTGGATGATCCTACTTACATATACTAGAGCAACGACCTGCTCTAGTTTGGAGAATTTCAGGTGGAATAATCCCCACCTTGGGATATAGTGGACCCAGTGGACCCAGGTATAGCAGCAAAGCAGTATTGGATAGGAAGGAGGACAAAAGGAATGACTGGATAGTTTAAAAAATATATATACTTTAATACAATAAGTAAAAAGTGAATAATAAACTATAAAACCAGTCCTGTTTAAAAGTCCAAAATTCTTCCTTGGACTTTTAAACAGGACTGGTTTTATAGTTTATTATTCACTTTTTACTTATTGTATTAAAGTATATATATTTTTTAAACTATCCAGTCATTCCTTTTGTCCTCCTTCCTATCCAATACTGCTTTGCTGCTATACCTGGGTCCACTATATCCCAAGGTGGGGATTATTCCACCTGAAATTATCCAAACTAGAGCAGGTCGTTGCTCTAGTATATGTAAGTAGGATCATCCACTTTTTTTTTTTTCACAATATTTTATATTTACGTACTATACCATGTGGTGTATTTTACTCTTGTTTTTCATGTAACGAATATTTACACCTATAAATTCACCAACGGTCTTGAACCTCAAGAAATCCATAGACGGGGATTATTCCGTCCAGGCTCTTAACACCGAGCTGATATAGCTCCTCAAAGTGTGAGTGTGAATATAACACCTTTGTTCTTGTGGAATTATATCGTTCATACATACTGTACCATTATTTGTATTTTTGTTTCTCTTTTTTTTAAGTTACTCTGCTGGCCAGTATTTCTACAAAACGTATGTACATTTTCTGATTTTTAGCGCTGTTCACCTTTCTATTTTATCTGTCTATTTATCACAAGGTAGAGGAACACCTTGTTGGTGAACTGCTGCTCACCCCTGAGAAGAGAGCGCTTATTATTCTTTTGCATTTGATACCTCTGGCGAGCACATGGAGGGCTGTACGGCCCCCCAAAGATATGCCACCACACACCATTACTGACCCACTGCCAAACCAGTCATGCTTGAGTATGTTGCAGGCAGCAGAACGTTCTCCACGGCGTATCCAGATTCTGTCACGTCTGTCACATGTGCTCAGTGTGAACCTGCTTTCATCTGTGAAGAGCACAGGGCGCCAGTGGCGAATTTGCCAATCTTGGTGTTCTCTGGCAAATGCCAAACGTTCTGCACAGTGTTGGGCTGTAAGCACAACCCCCACCTGTGGACGTCGGGCCCTCATACCACCCTCATCTGTTTCTGACCGTTTAAGCAGACACATGCACATTTGTGGCCTGCTGGAGGTCATTTTGCAGGGCTCTGGCAGGGCTCCTCCTGTTCCTCCTTGCACAAAGGCAGAGGTAGCGGTCCTGCTGCTGGGTTGTTGCCCTCCTACGGCCTCCTCCATGTCTCCTGATGTACTGGCCTGTCTCCTGGTAGCGCCTCCATGCTCTGGACACTACGCTGACAGACACAGCAAACCGTCTTGCCACAGCTCGCATTGATGTGCCATCCTGGATGAGTTGCACTACCTGAGCCACTTGTGTGGGTTGTAGACTCCGTCTCATGCTACCACTAGAGTGAAAGCACCGCCAGCATTCAAAAGTGACCAAAACATCAGCCATGAAGCATAGGAACTGAGAAGTGGTCTGTGGTCACCACCTGCAGAACCACTCCTTTATTGGGGGTGTCTTGTTAATTGCCTATAATTTCCACCTGTTGTCTATCCCATTTGCACAACAGCATGTGAAATTGATTGTCACTTAGTGTTGCTTCCTAAGTGGACAGTTTGATTTCACAGAAGTGTGATTGACTTGGAGTTACATTGTGTTGTTTAAGTGTTCCCTTTATTTTTTTGAGCAGTGTATATTAATATTAAAATACACTTAGACAGCGAATGTGTATTTATGTGTATATATGTGTACAGGTGAAACTCGAAAAATTTGAATATTGTGCAAAAGTTCATTTATTTCAGTAATGCAACGTTAAAGGGGAAACTAATATATGAGATAGACGCATTACATGCAAAGCAAGATAGTTCAAGCCGTGATTTGCCATAAGTGCGATGATTATGGCTTACAGCTCATGAAAACCCCAAATCCACAATCTCAGTAAATTAGAATATTGTGAAAAGGTGCAATATTCTAGGCTCACAGTGTCCCACTCTAATCAGCTAAGTAAGCCATAACACCTGTGTAAGAATATTAAATAGTTAACTTGTTTATATGTATTTTATGCTTTTATAAGGTTTATAACATGATTATTGCTGACTGAAGGAATATTGAATACTTAAACGACATAATATGCTGACTGTGACAGACTAAGGTATTTCTTCTATAGGATGTAAGACAATGCTAAAATTTCAGGATGTCTTGCCCATTCCGATTTTAAGGATATTCTTTTCCAGACGTATGCAAAAGCTTATCTTTCCATTGTCAGAATAACGTAATATAAGGAAGTAATAAATCTTATAGTCTGTACTGTAATGAATGGCATATACCATGGCTAATGTAAGCAAACTATGTATAAAAGCCAGCTCTGGAATACACTCATTTGAGAGTCTTGTAAAGCTGTTGTCCGTGTGTTATTGCTTACAAATGATTCTCCATCAACGTTGATTATGGTGACCGAGGGATCGAGAACCGAGGGGATTAGAGTCCATTACAACATTAACCCTTTCAGCTTGGTGTCTAGAAGTGGGATGGATGGATCAGCAAAACCATTGCGGTGAGTAGCCTTTTTGTGTCTTATTGACGCTGATTGTCTATGACCCCCGTTTGGTTCAGTAAGACTGTATCCAGTAGATAGGAAAGGTGTAAGGACTCTAGTTATATTGAGACTATAAGAGGTCTCCGGTTTATTAGACATTTGGTCTAAATATATATAGGGTTTTGGTAACCCAGGTTAGTATCTAAGATAGATACAGGTTTTTGAGACCATAAGAGGTCTCCGGTTTATTATAGGGTTTTGGTAACCCAGGTTAGTATCTAAGATAGATACAGGGTATCTCAGGTAGATACAGGTTTTTGAGACCATAAGAGTCTCCGGTTTATTAAGTCTATAGGTGTTCTGAGTAGCACGGTTTGTAGATCTATAAGTATAACCCAAACTTCTCTTTCTCCCGGTCACCTTTGTTTGTCTTAAGTGTTTTTTGTGGGTGATTGTTTGTCTATATTGGGGACACACTTTGGTAAGTTAGTAGTGTCCCCACTCTGAGTCAGCAGTATGGGAAATGTGAGTTCATGTCCTGAGTGACCAATATATGTACATGTATATGTGTGTGTATGTATATATGTGTATATGTATGTATATATGTGTGTGTGTATATGTATATGTGTATATATAAGATAGTAGTACTTTTAAACAAATGGAGGTTTTAAAAATACATAGGGATTAAGGAGAGAACGCAGGTAACTTGTTTTTCTTTGGTTTTTACCATATATTGGGGCTGATGTGTACTGTAGTCCTTGCTGCTGCCCAGTAGTGATGGGAGTGAGCGTAGGACTTATCTTTCTGCAAGATAGCAGTACTGTATATTAGAAAAGAAATGACTCATAGGTTGTACCTGATAGACCTACTTAAATCTTTTTACTTTATTCTTTCTGTTGCATAGAAGTATAAGTTTATTACTCTGTTTTATTGTAAGTTATTTCACATGGGATCTATGTGCCTGGTATGATTGTTGCTTTAAAAATACCATAAGCCCACTACACTTATTATGAGAGTGGGATAGTGTAAATGTGTTGCATTGTTTGCATGATGAGCTCAGTATATTTTATAACTGAGACAAAAAGTCACTTCATTAGTATTTTAAAGTTAATTCCCCATATGGGATTAATTGTATAGAACACCAATCAGCACATCTTCCCTGCCCTGTGTGTTTGTTGCAAAGGATCCATACTAAATATGATTTATGTTTGAAAATAACAGAGCAACATTTACATTTTCAGCGGTCCAACACATGCTTTATTTTGCACTGTAAACTAACCTTTTATTGCAACAGGTTCCTTTTAAATGATCCAGTGTAATAACTACTGCTTGTGTCTTCTATGTCTCACATTATGTGATATTTTAAATTGTGGTATATAGCCTGAATCAGACATCATGGACAAAAGGTTTTTACCTGTGTTACTAAGGGCTCTTGGAGACTGACCGGTCTAAAGGTTTGCCATGCCTTTAAAACATGGTATAGTATAAATTTTTTAAGTCTCTGAGAGTTCTGAAAGATTCAGGTGAAACCATGTCTGTTTAATCTGGTCCAGATGTTTGTTCAATTTCTATAGGATTTAAATTGATGCAGCATCATCTCAGATTAGTTAATGGTAGTTTTATACAAATAGTTGAGTTATGAGCGCGCTATATAAATGGATCCTTTCTTTAAATACAATACTATAGTAGATTAAAGTAATGAAGTTAATTAAGAAAATGTACACATAAGAATCCCTAAAATAAATCTAAACTAAAATTGGTATACCTTCCAATAATATGTTCTGAATACAGCTGTTAACTGTTTATTCTGTGTAAATGGTGACTGTGATAATGTGTGATAAGTGTGCAGTTTAACTTGAAAGTGGTTTAATTTATGTTGCTGTATTGTTTTAAATTATATGTGAATCAGTTTGTCACAGTCTAGTGATACTGATAAGAATGACAGCCAAATAACCTAGCAAATAACTGTTTTATTAGTTGTTGAATACTAGCGTTTTGGCCAAGAATAGTTGGAGATTTGGAGGTGTTAGTTTAAGATTGCTTTTATATTGTGTCTATCTGTGTTTCCTATGAGGGAGACAGAGTGTGTAGTTGTGTGCCCATAAATGTGATTTCTGTATTGGCATATCTGCTGGGTACCCATTATGTGTTTCTACAAAGATATTGTTTTATGAGATGACTAATATTACATGGGATGCTGAGTATGAGTTATATGGTTTGAAATGAATTGGTGATTATGAGCTTAGTACTTCAGTAAGATGTGCTAAAATTTGGAACAAGGTGGAAATTGAAATGTTGGGATTATGGAAGAATAAGCAGTCTATATTTACTGCTTTGGCATATAAGCAGGATGCAAAGGAGAGATTGGTAATATGATTTTTGTAAATAAATTTTACAAGTGTTGGAAGGATGAGGCAGGTTTGATGTCTGGAGATGATATAGATCTCTTTAAAATACAGTCATGCCTTGGTAATATGTTGCCACAGTATTCTTTGCTTGTGAAACAATTGATTTCAGACTGGGCCAATTTGGATAGCTCAGATTTTCTTACCAAGGTTATAGAAAAGGAAAATGCAGGTTGTTTTGAATTAAGAAAAGATTTAGGAAAGTAAGGTTGCTTATTATGCTCAGGGATTGTAACATTGGCCACCTACACAGGCTGAGAGCAAGGATGGGATGGAGCACATAAAGCCCGTGGAAGGGGTGGTCAAAGAGGGGCAAGGGGATGGAGACAGGGAAATCAGGGTTATAGGGGCAGGGGTAACCAAGGAGGAATAGACAGGAACACTTGTTTCAACTGTGGCCAATATGGCCACTGGAGGAATGAGTGTCCACACCCCAGGAAACCCCAGGAAACCCCAGGAAACCCCACACACCCCAACAACCCCACCTTTCTCAAAATATGCCCTGTAGGCAAGAACAACACCAGACCCACTCCCAACACCACTGGCCAGCATATCGCTTAGTTCAGGACTTTAGAGCCCTGAATAGTTTAATTGTGCCCATTTCACCCATTGTCCCTGATGTGACATCCCTCATTATAGCCATTCCACATGATGCCACTTGCTTCACTGTCATTGATTTAAGTAATGCATTTTTTTCTATACCTATTGATCAAGAGACACAGCTACTTATGGTTTTTTACTTTTTGAAGGCTGTCAGTTTACCTGGACACGCTTACCCAAGGCTATGTGGATTCCCCAGCTGTTTATTCGTTGGTACTCCAACATACTCTAAAAAAACATGGACCACCGGTCATGGTTCCGTCCTTTTTGCAAAATGTTGATGATTTGTTGTTATGTAGCCCTAGGTCTGAGGCAAGCACTGTGGATACTGTCAGCAACTATAGGTCACAAGGTTGTTAAACACAAAATGCAATTGTGTAAATCAAAGGTTGAATACTTAGGTTTTGTTCTGGCTTTAGGCACCAGACAATTGAGTCCAAAATGTATTGAGGTCATTCAGAGGATTCCAACACCCACTACTCGGAAGGAGTTGCTCACCTTCCTCGGCATGATTAATTACTGCCGCCAATGGATCCCTGAATGCTCCCATTATGACTCAATCCTAAGGGAGGCTGTACGTTCTGACAGCCCTGAAAATGTCTGCTGGTCACCAGACATGCTATCTGCATATATTGCCCTTACAGTTGTTATTGTGCAAGCCCAGGCTTTAGGACTACCTGTGTATTGTAAACCATTTCATTTGTATGCTTGGGACAATTGTAAAACCATGGCCGTGGTCTGTGCACAAGAGCAAGGAGGCGGTATGCGTCCCATAGCATTCTTTTCCAAAGTAGTTCAAGCTCCGGTACAGGGTATGCCGGCGTGTCTCAGAGCATTGATAGCATGTGCAATGGCTGTTGAAACTGCTACTACTATCACACTAGGGCATCCTACAATACTTCATGCCAGTCACCAGGTCACTCAGCTGATGACAAATCTCACCACACAACACATGACAGCCCAGCGCTTCAGTGGTTATGAGATTTTTTTTTTTTTTTTTTTAAATACCCAGAATCTGTCTTTTGGATTAAACAAGGTTTAGAGAAAGATCAAAATGATCTGTTCTCTAAAGAGGGGAGAATAGGCATACTTGAAGAATAGGCATACTTGAAGCAAGCTGATTTATTTTCATCAGTCAGGCACATAGCAAGCACCATTCAATTCTTCATGAATTCATTTTATATTAGGAATCTTAGGCAGCATGTACAGTCTTTTGTAAGATCATGTGAAC